TAAAAAGTTGAGTATAACAAAGGAAAAGTGGGTATGTTTCTCCACCAAGATCAGTCCCCCAATTGATTGCTCATACCTCTTTATTTACCAGCTTCCACATAGACAAGTCTAGTTACCCCCAAACTTACATATTCATCCTCTAAAGTTCTAAAGAAGAAAGGTTTGACTCAGGAAATACTTGAGTAGCCTGAGTGGCCCAGCATTCCTTAGGGCTCCTGTTGTGAAGGCACTTGGCCGCTCTGTGGGTCACCATATTGATCTCCAGGGATGCCTCGGCAGATTGGAGTCGTGTCTTATCACAAGGATGCAGCTTCCAGCCTCTCCTTGGAGCCTGGGTTTTTAAGCTGATGTCCTGATAGTCAGTTTTCCCAATACATAATATGTTTTTTCATTTCTGTAACTGCTATAACTGGGCCTTTGCTTTTAAGGCCTATCTAAGTGTCCATAGTAATAGTCTGCTTAAATCTCTTTCTAGAATAGAGGCTTTGTCTTTATCTTGAAGATTCTTCTCTATTAGGACTTTGGACCAGTGGCAAATTAACTCTTGGCAGGATTCTTCTCCAGTCATGAAATCCTGTCTCTAACCCCAGGATGATGGTCGGGGCTGATTTACCCATGCATAGATAGCCAGGTGGGCCCACTCACTTCTCTTGGACTTTTAAGCATCAACTGCTGGAACACTCTGTGACTGTATTCTACATTCAACAGGACATCAAGACCCTGATGATATTGGTCCCTTGTTTGTTCTGAAGAAGCTAATTCAAGTCAACCCAAATCATGCTGATGTGAACGGCACTTGAATCGTATCTAGATACAGTCATTTCCTTGGCTCTTCTGCCTTGCTGGCCTGTCTAAACTTCTGTTATTGGCAAAGGCCTGCCCACTAGCCCACCTATAGAGGTGGGTGTAGAGATAGGCCCATCCTCTGCTGAATAATATTTTCTTGTTGGGAATACATCACCACTCTTCAGTGATAAATCTCAAAGTGTGATAACCATCAATAGTAGGGACAATATTTTATTCCACTTTGGCATCAAAGTGGGTGAAGGCGGCTCTGCTCAGTGGTTAAGTCTAAAGACACTGGAGTTCAAATCTGGCTTCCTCCACTTTTTGGCTAAATGACGTCTAATTTTCTGTGTTTCAATATTTTCATTTATAAAATTTGGATATTAATAATACCCACCTCATAGGGTATTGTGAGGATTAAACAAAGTAACAAATGTAGGCTACTTGGAGTAATGCTAGTTGTGTAGTGATTGTTCTGTAAATGGTTAGTTATTAACTCTTATTGATGGGAGAGAGGAGAAGGGTGCAAGAGGAGAGGATGAAGAAACTAAAGCAAGAAAGGCGTGGAGAAATAAAAGAGTTAAAGGAGTGTGAAAGAGAACATGTGGAGGGAAATGGGCATGGAGCAAAAGTGGTGGACTCTTCTGCTTTCTACCCCAAAGGGTGGACGATTAGTAGAATAGTTGGAGGGACAGTCAGAGTCACGGTGTCCACAAGTCACGATGAGAAAATTGACATCAGAGCACAAGACAGTGAGTCTTGGTTCTTAGAGAAAACTTTTCCAACATGGAATGATCATGAGTGCGCACACTCAGACTTCTCTTATTTCAGTGATTTCAAGGGAAAAATGGGGATTTCTGACCTCCTTTTCCCATTGCCTCTTAGCTGATTGAATTGCTTTGAACTCCAGGTAAGTACATAAAAGTCAGTGTTGACTTCTAAGCCCAATGCTAAATATAAGGGACCACCTCTGCCAGGAAGAGCAGCAGGAGGGGTTTAGGGTTTATTTTTGCACTCAGGATATGTCTGTGGAATAATCTTTTTAAGAGGCAAGCAGATCCACTTAGCAAAGGCAAATGGTACATGAAAGTACTTCTGATTTTGCTGCTGTAAAAACAAGCCCCTAACCCTCCTTCCCGGGTCCCTGACAAAATGACCATTTCATCCCTGGTTTCCTCTTCCAGAACCCCAAAAGCCCACACCTCAGCTCATATTCCTACCTTCTTTTCTCCTGCTCATGTTCCTTGGATTATTCTAAACAGAGGAATCTTGCCTAGGATCTCTGTGCGAGAAGGCCCTGGCTCTTCCTAACGCCAGGTAAAAAGCAAGTGTGAAAAGCAACAGCAGCATTAGCTGATACTTGTTAAGCACTTATTATATTCAGGTACCACGCTAAGCATTGTACATGAATTATCATTTTGATTCTCAAAACAATCCTATGGTACTAACGGTCTCCCCATTTTGAAGTCTAAATAGCAGCGCTGGGGCCCAGGACAGGCCACCTCAAAATATGCCGCAATGGCATATTGATTATTTTGAATTGAAGTTGCTTAAGAAGCAGACACTGCAAGAGGGAAACTCTGGCCCTTCTCTGTCCCCCCAAAAGCAGAAAATACATCTCCCATGTGCAAGGTTCATTTCTGCATCTGAAGGTAGAGGCCATCCTTACTGCCAGATACAGGGAACTCAGGGCAAGAGGCCTGTATAAACGTTAATTTACTACCCCAAGCCAAACTCTGTTTAGATTCTTCACTAATTAAGCACCCAGAACCTAAGTATCTCTGCCTTGTCAATTTCCCACAAATTTATTGTTTCTTTGTCTAAAAAGTATAAAAGTTGCCTGCTTTAGCCACTCCTTAGTTCCCATTTCTATGAGACCTCTGTGTGCATCAATTAAAATTCGCTTCTTTTCCCCTGTTAATCTGTCTTGTGTCAATTGTATTATTAATCCAGCCACAAGAACTCAAGAGGGATAGAGGGGGAAATAGCCCCCTTCCTGACAACAGGTGGAGTTCATATAACTTTCCCAAAGTCATAAAGCTAGTGGATGAATGATTTACTGACAGCTGATTTGACAACTTTGATTTCAGTTTCACAGATGAGGCAAGTGTATCTTAGTGCTACCTTTTATCTTAGCACGTGTTAGCCCTTTGAAGAGCATCAGGGACTTTAAAACTGAGTGACTGACGAGGTCAGAAAAGAGTGGAGCAGAAAGAGCTATAGCCTTGGGATTAGAAGAACAAATGTCCATTTCCAGTTCTACCAATTTCAGGTTGTGAAATTCCAGGTGAATTGTTTAACCTGAATCTTAGTTTATTTTACATAATGGGATTAATAAAATCTGTCTTGCTTATTTCAGTGATTTTAGTATGTCTCACATAAGAAAGTAGGCTTAAAAATTGTAGAATGCTTTGTAAATTAGGTGGTATCCAATACCACCCTGTCCAGTCCTTCTTTGGAATATTGGGGACATCCCCAGATTTCCATTTAGGTTCTATCCAGCTTTTTCCCCATCTACTTGCATTTTCTACTTGTGTGTCAGGGTGACTAGCATGGGCTCCACAAACTTGGTGTACCTAGTGGCTGCAATCTCTATGAAGCTCACCTTAAAGGAACTGCGCTCTAAATGATCAAGGGAACCAGAGAGACCAAGGCCCACTGATACTTCCTTTTCAGGAAATTCTAACCCACTAGATCCTGTGTTCTAACTCAGGGGAAGAATTTACATTTCCTGGGTTGGTAAGAGATACTGTAAGTAGATTTAGCAATGCCAAACTGAGTCCGTTTTTATATAAACAAGGCAGTTGTTTGGATTCAATGAGATAATATATGCAACGATGAAACAATCCCAGAGCTATGTTAATGTTACAGAGTTTCTTTGTCCTAACAAACAACCACCAATATTCATCTGCCCTTTATACTTTAAAGCCGTAAGTAAGAAAAACAGAATTTTTAGTTCATTTCTTTTTCGAGACCTAACTTATTTGTAAAACAGGGATATTAATCTCAATTACTTTAATAATCCAATTATCTTGGAGTTTTTGGAGGACAGAAACAGAGTAAGAGCTCTGAATATGCTCTGAAAATAAAAGGAGTGAAGTCCTCGCTTCAATCCCCGGTACCTCCATTAAAGAGATTTTTTTTTTTTAAGAAAATAAAGTGAGCTTATAGAGATTAAGTTTTTACAGTGCTGATTATAGTCACCCATCACTCGAATCTGCTGGAGCAATGAAGTATAACTAAGAAGGGCATATTTCTAGGAGAATTTTTTTTAAAAAAACGCCATATTTCTTTTAAAATCTATGTAACACACTCTAATGCTGAAAAGAAATTTCTTTTAAGTTTTTCCAGGTTTTGGATTTATCTATTCTTTTGTTGGTTTTCTGGGAAAGTCTATCACATGCTGACTCTTCTGAACAGAAGGGTTGGTCTCAGACCTTTAGACGCTGAGTGCAGATAAAATTCAGATAAATAAACTGTAAAGACGAAAAACAGTTATTTAGATCTTAAGTCTCTCCCCAGACATTTGGATCTCTTTTGAGACCCAGAGTGTTTCTGTTAAAACAGATCCAAAGGCCACTTCAATGTCTTCCTTAAGGGCAACTTCTAAAACTTAGCAGAAAACTAGGCGGGGTCAGCAAGGGTCAGAACTCACAGGTTTGTAGGTTAAGGAGTAAGATCCACAGGTGGTGACACGCCATCTTCTTCCAGGGTGCAATCTTCTTCAGATGCGTATGGCAGTCTTCCAACAGGGAGTCAGTTTCATTTCAGTTTTCTTGCTCCTTTTTATAGTCACATCTAAAAAAGGAAGTGTGAGCTAACAGATGTAAGACAGGCTAGTTTTTCCTGTTGTTGAAAGTGCCTTGCATTAATTATTTATTCAACAAATATTTATTGAATGCCTACTATGTGCCAGACACTATTCTGGGCACTAGCAATATAAACAGCAACAAAGCAATTGATCTCCCTCCTTTCATGGGGCTCATGTTCTTGTTTGGAGGGAATCAACAATTAACAGGCAGTACAGTGTGGTAAGTGTTGTAAAAGGGAAAAAAGGGGAACTGAGACGGTAGCACGAGCAGTGGACAGGCTAGGACAGTGTGGAGAAGGCGTCCCGAAGGAAACTTCCTGAAGGAACTGACAGCCAAGCTGAGCCAGATCTGAAGAGTAAATTAGCATTATTAAGTGAAAGGTGGGAGGGAATAGGGAATAGGAAGAATGTGTTAATGCTATAGGAGCTTAATAAATGGTAACAACTAATGTTATATAGAATTATATAATCATATAGTTATTCGTATATAATCATTATAAAATTATATGTGATAATAGTATATGTATGTGATCAGACAGCATATGCTTGTGTTATATATAATTATATAAATTATATATTATGTATATAATTATAATTGAGCTACATGTAACACAGGACTGTTCTCTAGTAGAGGCCCCCAATCCCTGTTAGGATAACAAAGGCCTTGTATGTGTATGAAGTGTGAATTTCATTATTAATGACAATAAATATTTGGGTCCAGATGCCAAGCAGTTTGGATTTAGCTGCTTTGGGGAGTGCAGGGAAAGCTGAAGACACAGGCCCTGAGACCTGGAGGAAGTAAGATTATGTACAGCCTTGCCCACTGAGAGGAATCCTCAGCCAGCTAGCTCATTCCTAGGCAGTGTGAGCCTCTGGAGTCATTTACTGGACAATCCTTAGTGGTTGACTTTGAGAAAGGAAGTGTCATTGTGTTCTCTGTGATATACCCCAAACAACTATAACCAAGAATCCACACATATTTAAAATGCTTTCAAATATTTTTTGTTTTATTTTTCACAATAAAATCTTTAAAAATCTTGTCATTAATTTTTCATGCTTTATTATGTCCTTTTTAGTGTCTGTCTTTTATTTTATTTTTCGTTATTTTCTTTTACGGCAAATTGTCTTATGGCCAATTATCTGGGCAGGGAAACTGCTTGTGGCAAAGATTCTTACTGTGAAAAATACCAGTAACTTTTCATGAACCTGTTGGCCATCTGTACGTCTTTTTGGATAAATGTTTATTTAGTTCCTCTGCTCATTTTTAAATTGGATTTTTTGGTATTTTTGCTATTTATTTATATGAATTTTTATATATTTTAGATACTAATCCTTTATCATATATTTATTCTGCAAATATCTTCTCCAGTTACTTAGGTTACCTTTGCATTTTGTTGATGGTTTCTTTTCCTGCGCAGTTTTTAGTTTGATGAATCTGACTTGTTGATTTTCTCTTTTGCTGTGTTTGCTTTTGGTGTCAAATCCAAGAAATCATTGCCAAGACTAACGTCAAGCAGCTTACTGATCATGCTTTCTCCCAGGAGTCTTATGGTTTCAGATTTTACATTTTTAATCCATTTTGAGTTGATTTTTGTGTGTAGTGTAAAATACGGGTCCAGTTTTATTCTTTTGAAAATACATATACAGTTTTCCAAACACTATTGAAGGGACTGTTTTTTATCTGTTGTACATTCTTGGCTCCTTTGTCGTAAAGTAATTGGCTATAAAGTTTATTTCTGGGCTGTTTGTTCTATTAATCTATGTGTCTATTTTTATGCCAATATTGTACTGTTTTGATTACTGTAGCTTTGTAATATAGTTTGAGAACAGGAGTGTCATATCTCCAGATTTGTTTTTCTTTCTCAAAATTGCTTTGGCTATTCAGTTTTTTGTGGTTCCATATAAATTTTAGTATTTTTTTTTCTGTTTCTATGAAAATGTCATTGGAATTTTCATAGCAGTTTTCATTGAGGAGTATGGACATTTTAACAATATTCATTATTCTAATTTATGGGCATGGGACACATTTTCATTAATTTGTGTTTTCTTCACTTTCTTTCATCAATGTCTTACAGTTGTTATGCACGGGCCTTTCACCTCCTTCATTAAATTTATTCCTAGGTATTTTATCCTTTTTGATTCAATTGTATTTGGGATTGTTTTCTTAATTTTTCTTTCTGATACTTTGTTATTAGTGCATATAAAATGCAAATAATTTTTGTATATTGGTTTTGTACCTTGCAACTTTACTGAATTTTAAAAATTAGTTTTAACTGGCTTTTGGTGGAGTTTTTAGGGTTTTCTATATATACTATCATGCCATCTGCAAATAAAGTTTTACTTCTTCCTTTTCAATTGGGATGCCTTTTATTTCTTTTTCTTGTCTAATTGCTCTGTCTAGGACATCAAGTACTATGTTGAATAAAAGTAGCGAGAGTGATCATCCTTGTCTTGTTCTTAATTTTAGAGGAAAAGCTCTCAGGTCTTCACTGTTGAGTATGACACTACCTCTGGGCTTGTCATATATGGCCTCTATAATGTTAAAATACATTCCCTATATGTCCAGTTTGTTGAGAATTTTTATCATGAATTAACATCGAATTTTTTTCCAAATTTTTTTGCATCTACTGAGACAATCATATTATTTTTTATTTTTCACTCTATTAATGTGTGATTGATCTGCAGATGTTAAATGATTCTTGGATTTCAGGGATAAATCCCACCTGGTCATGGTGTATGATCTTCTCAATGTATTGTTGAATTGGTTTGCCAATATTTTGTTGAGGATTTTTGCACCTATGTTCATCAGGGATATTGGCCTTTAATTTTCTCTTCTTGTAGTGTACTTGTTTGGTTTTAGAATAATACTGGCTTTGTAAAATGAGTTTGGAAGTAGTCGCTCTTCTTCTATTTTTTGGAAAAGATTGAGAAAGATTGGTATTAATTCTTCTTTAAATGTTTGGAAGAATTCACCAGTGAAGTCATTTGGTCCTGCGGTTTTCTATGCTGATATATTGTTGATTATTAATTCAGTCCCCTTACTCATCACTGATCTGTTCAGACTTTCTATTTTTTCATGATTCAGTCTTTGTAGGTTGTATATTTCTAGGAATTAATCTATTTCTTCTAGGTTCTCTAGTTTGTTGTTGTATAATTGTTCATATTCAGCAAGATTTTTAATAGAAATGCACGAGCTGATTTTAAAAGGGAAATACAAAGAAACTAAATAGGCAAGACAACTATGAAAAAGATAAAAATTGGAGAGCTACAACTACCTGATTTCAGTAATTATAAATTTAGAATTGAATAATGTTGTATTAGCTTAAAGATAGACAATAGATCAATGGAATAGAAAAGAGAGTCCAGAAATGGACTCACACATACATGGAAAAAGGGGTTTTGATGAAAGCGCAGAAGCTATAAAGTACAGAAAGAAAGACTTTTGCACAAATGGTTTTAGAACAATTGAATATCCATATGCAAAAGAAAAAAAGAAATAAGGGAAGAAAAGAAAAAAGAACAAGAAAGAAAAAGAATGTAAAGAAAGCAAAAAAGAGCTTTGATTCATAACTTATACCGTATTTAAAAACTACATTCAAAATAGAATATGATCTAAAGGTAGAACTTAAAATTACAAAACTTCTGGGAGAAAACATAAAAGAAAATATTTGTCAAATATTTGTAATCTTGTGGTAGATGAAGATTTCTCAGACACAGCACCAAAATAGACAAATTAGACCTCATTAAAATCAAGAACTTCTGATTTTCAAAAGACTTCATTAAGAGAATGAAAAGACAAGCCACAGCCTGGGAGAAAATTTTTGCAAATTATATATCTGATAAAGGACTTGTATCTAGAATATATAGAGAGTTCTCAAAACTCAACACTAAGAAAACAAACAACCCCCCAAAATAAATGGGCAAAGGTTTAAATAGACACTTCACCAAAGAAGATAAAGGGTTGACAACTAAGCTGACGACAAGATTAAATGGCTAAAATTAAAAAGACCCACTGTGATGGTTAATTTTATGTGCCAGCTTGTTTGGGCCGTGGGATGCCCAGATACCTGGTTACACATTATTTCTGAGTATGTTGTGAGAGTGTTTCTGGAAGACATTAAGATTTGAACTGGGGGACTGAATAAAGTGGATTGTTTTTCCCAAAGTGGGTGGGTATCACCCAATCTATTGAGGGCCAATAGAACAAAAAGGCAGAGGAAGGTTGAACTGGCTCTCTGCCTGACTGCATGATCTGAGACATTGGTCATCTGCCCTTGGTCTGGGATTTACATCATCAGTGTTCTTGGTTCTCAGGCCTTCAGACTCAGGACTGGAATTTACAGCACCAGTTTTCCTGGTTCTCCAGCTTGCAGACAGCAGATTGTGGGACTTTTCAGCTTCCATAATCAGAGGAGCCAATTTCTTATAATAAATCTCATTCTAGTTATATCAGTAGCAATCCTATTGGTTCGATTTCTCTGGAGAACCTTGACTAATACATTCACCACACCAAATGTTGGCAAAAACTAGAACTTTTATACACAGCTGGTGTGTATGTATGTAAAATGGCTGCCATAAACTTAATGTTTTGTGTCCTCCTAAAATTCATATATTGAAATCTAATCCCTAATATGATGGTATTAGGAGGTGGGGGCTATAGAAATTGACTTGATCATGAAGATGCAGCACTCATGAAAGGAATTTGCCTTTACAAAAGAGGTTCCAGAGAGCTTCCTCTGCCCTTCTATGTGTGAGGACACGGCAAAAAGACAGCCATCTATGAACCAGGTATTTTCCCTCACCAGACACAGAACCTGTTGTCACCTTGATCTTGGATTTCCCAGCCTCCAAAACTCTGAGAAATAAATTTCTGTTGTTTATAAGCTGCTCAGTTTATGATATTTTGTTACAGCAGCCTGAATGGAACTAAGACAATGGTACAGCCACTTTAGGAAACAGTGACAACTACTTAAAAATTCAAACTATCCCTATCATAGAATTCAGCTATTCCATTTCTACATATTTACTAAAGAATATGAAAGCATATGTCTGTACAAGGACTTATACATGAAAGTTTATTATCACTTTATTTGTAATTGCCCGAAACGGGAAATAACCCAA